AGAATAAAAAGGGGCGGGACTTAGTGAGGCTTAATTCTCCATGAACCCTTTCACATTACACATTCATCATTTGATCCATTGTTACTGTAACATAAAAAGGTGAATTAATACAGCTTAAAGCATCACCATTCACCTCCATTGCTCTGGGTGGAGGTAGATATCTCAGAGACTGATATGTTAAGTAAGCGAGAAAATGTTTGTCTTCATTTTGTAATTTTGGTTCACTGGTAATTTCCTCAGGAGAGACAAGGCGTCAGTAACTTTCTTTGCTATTAGCTCAGAAAGGTGCCTGAAAAGACACAAGTCTAATTTTGTGTAGTGCAATGATAGATCGCACTGATAAAGTAGCTGTGAGTTATGAGACGGACAGACGGCTCCAAGAACATTGCAGGGGCTGCAGTTCTCATCCCCCAAACTGCGTTTGTAAGATATTATCTAACTTCAAAGAGAACACAAGAGTTTAATTAATGAATGTTATGTCTGGACATGTAATATTCTTTGAAATACAGTCTAATCTTAGCTGCTGCCCTCTAATCATTTTAGATTTACAGCAGAGAGCAGCAGTTGGAGCCACCAGCGCAGCGGCCATGTCTCTTGCTCAGAGCGACATCATTAGGATGGCCCTGCTACTGTGCTGTAAACTGTGTTGTTCACATATTCTGTGATGCATTAATTAACTTTAAAATCAGTGGAGTCATTTCACACAGACGTTTTTTATACAGTATGGGACTTCAGCTTTAGCTTTTAAAGACACTTCAGCAGGACAGGACAGGAAAGCTGTTTTGGACACACTTTTGGGGATAGAATTCGTGACTTCTCCTTATAAGACGCCCTCTCCGCTGGGCCTCCTGTCACTCTCCGGTGTCAGACTTAAAGGCCAAGTCCAAAACTGCTGCATCGTGCCTGCAGATGAAACACTGTCAGCCCTCTCCTGGCTTTGTTGACAGAGTGATTTACTGGGTTGAATATATTGATGCCTGGGCTTTTGAGACTTGAGTGATGTGACTGTGTAACCTCTTAAAATTTACTTTTTCATACATTTCCCTGCTGAAAATGCTTTTTTTGTGTGAAAGAAAATGTCATATGACAGATTATTTTTGGTTTTATAAAATTTATAAAACCGCTGGTATATACTTGACCATTTGCCTCCCATAAACACAGCAGTCCAATCGTAGCTTAGCAACCAT